TGCTTGTCCCATGTCCCTGTCCTACCTGACTGGTGACCAAGTTGCTAAGCAGCACCAACAGGCGATTGGGTAAAATTATCACCGATCACAATACATGGAAGAGCAGCCTTAGCATACTTAAGTTGTCCAGGTGCAATGTGAAGAAGTGTGATAGGAGAGGCTGGGAGGCCTGGCCACCTTGGCCCTGTTTCCTGTGCTGACCCACTTACCTCGTGTGAGCCTGGTGGCCCAGATTGAAAGCTCAAGGGCTTTTCAGCCCTGTCATTTGATTTAGACCTGTTGACTTGACCAAAATTTGCACTGGTTTTAATTTGAGAGCTGGTGTTTCCTCTCAAATCACAGAGACTTGTAATTTCCATCTCCCTCTACAGCACCTCACCCATAGACTAGTCTGGTTTTATATAACTTGACTGAGAAAGAACTGGATTTCACACTTAGTTAAAGGAGATTGTATCGCCTGCTGTTTCCTTTCTTGTTCACTTTCCTTTGCACATGGGCAGCCTTTCATTCCCATGCTAAGTCATACCCTTGGATACCCACAGTGAAGGGACAGGCAGGAGACTAGTTCCTACAAGAAAGAGAGCCAGTCCCTCTCTCAGCTATTTTACCAGAAGCAGATTTTCCCTTCAGGAGTCACTTCTGCTTCAGCCCATCTGTAGGGTGCTCACTCATGCAACACAATCACTTATTTTCTGTGGGAGAATCCCTTACATGTTTCCTGTGAACACCATTACAGGCTGACTCCCTGTTTTACCTCTAGTGGAAAGGAGATAGGTTATTATTTTAAAGCAAACAGAGAATTACTTTTAGCACTTTTTTTCCTTTTGCCCCATCAGTTCTATGTTCACACCACTGTGGGGTGGTTTTGGGGTGAGGTGGCGTCCCCAGATACACATAATCTTTGTAAAGTTGTATGGTTTTGTAGAGTTGAGAGGGTTTTTTTTTTTTGAATAGCCCAAATGCCTATTCAGTGCCAATCTAGGAAAGAATAGAGTCAGCATTTTCACACCATTCCTTCCTATACAGTTCCTGAATAACCATCTAATCAAGATTTGTTTTCAATGGGGAACAAATCATCTACAGTAGAGTATTTCAGATTTATTCCATTGGAATCTATACATTAATGCCCATTGGATGAAAAGGACCTGCTTCACAAAAGCCTGAACATTGCCTTGCTGTGGCAGAAACTTTTTCCCACTGTATTAGTGTTAAAAATAAAAGAAAGCCTGGGAAAGGAATTACTTCAGCATTGTGTGCCCAAGGAATGAGGCGTGCTTGAATGGAGGGGCAGGGTCCCCCATAGCATCTGTACCCATATCAGCAAAACCAATGCAGCCTTTCACAGCTGCTCACTGCTCACTGCAGAGTATGACCAATGTACTGAGGGAGATGTTTCAAAATTATGTCTATAAAAATCCAACGAGGCTTGTCAGGTCACGTTGTAAATGTGTGCAGGTTTGAGTTTGTCTCTGGTTTTGCATGAACTTGGTGACAAATTACTGCAATAATCATAACAGATACTTAACAATTTTTGGTGATTACTTCTATAGGGTTACCTGGTGGTTTAGATAGACTTGGCAAGTTCAGTCAAACAAGCAGTTTGAGTTTTTTCTCATGAGCTTGTGAATGTATGTGTGTGGTGTGTATTGATGAAGGTGTGTGATACAGTGACAGCTTTTGATGTTGACCATTTCTATCTCAAAAGCAGCCTCCATTATCACCTTCGGTGCCTTTAGCTTTTATTCTATGTTCTGAGAATTAGGATGGCCCTAGATCTCTAGGCAATCTGAGTTTCGCTCCTCAGCCATCCTGTATTATGCCATGAAAAGGGCATCCAGGGGCATGGGCTCTAATCCCAGCCCTGCCTCTTCCTAGCTGTGTAAAACTTTGGTCAAGTCATTTAAACCCTTGGAAAGCCTCAACTTTCTCTTGCATCAAATAGTAAGAATAGGACCTGTCCTGAAAACATCTAGGGTGGCTTTTTTTGGTTTTTTTTGGTTTTTTTGGCCCAAAACAGATTTATTCTTTCATAGTTCTGGAGACCAGAATTCCCAAATCAAAGTGTCATGTTCCCTTCAAACATTCTGGGGAATACTCTTTCTTTGCCTTTTCTAGCTTCTGGTGATTGTGGCAATTCTTGGTGTTCCTTGGCTTGTAGACTAGGGTGGTTTTAAGGAGAGAAAATGTTACATGGGCAAGAGTTTTATACAGTGTAGAATGCTGCATGGATATTAATTATGATTATTGTGGTAGAGCTTCTTCGCAGATAAGTTTTGGGAACAGATCATTCTGATAGAGAATAATCAGAAGAGGACAACTTCATCACAAATAATCTCTAGTGATACCATTGTGACTGGTGCTATGAGTAAATGTGTGTTTAAAGAGTATGTTCACCTGTAGGGAAAAACAATAAATAAATCCATCCTACTAAGAAATAATGATTCTCGCAGAGATGCAATCTGTTTCAGTGTTTACTGTTTCACTGAATGAACGAGACTTTGGTGGTAATAAAATGGTATATAGAAGACTACACTTTAGTGCTGGGACAAGTTTGTTATCTCTTGGCATTATTCCATTTCCAGACTTAAAAGAGAGATGTTCTTTAAGTTTGATGACTGAAACATATGTTGAATTCCCAAGGCCTGGCTAGAAACATGAACACTTTTTGGTTCATGGGTAGGTATAGAAGTTGCTGGAGAACATACTGGACAAATCTTCCCATAGATTTACAGCAATCCCATGGACACCTAAGGGCCAAACTTCATTCTAAGCAAAGCAGGCAGTATAGTGAAGCAGGTAAGAGTGTGAACTCTGGAGCTAGACTGCCTGGGTTCAAATGTCAGCTCTACCACCAATTGCCTAGAAGCAAGTTTCTTAATTTCTCTGGCCCCATTTCCTCATCTGAAAAATAGGGATAATACTATCTATACCATAGGCTCATAGTGAGAATTAAAATGAAATAATATTCTCAGAGTAGTTAGAACAGTTCTAACAGTAGTTAGAATTTGACACGTGGTAAGCTCTAACAAATATTTTTGTTATTATTATTATTATTATCATGGTACATAATGTTATAGCCACCCATGCATGGGGAACCTAGCAAAAACTTGGAATTTGGTCTGTTGACTAATTTCCTGAACATTCCTTCTTGGTTTCTTGGGGCCTTCCTTTGAGGCCATATTTTATATTTATATTTTATTTTATATTTATTATTTTCATAGATATAAAATGCAATAGTTAGTATTATATGTAATACATAAATTATTTATTATATTTATATTCTATATTAGCACAGTTACAGAGGATTCACCATGATTCTTTAATCTGGCAAAGAAAATTTGTTTTACATAAAATGACAGACAGGAAACCATGGCCTAATACAGTATTTTAGGCATGTAAAAGACCGGATGGAAGTCAGAACAAGAGGAAATTCTCTTATGCAAAAATTAGTGCAAATTGTATCACTGAGTGAACATAGATCCTGCAGGCATTTATTAAGTTAAGTGGATATGTGGGAGGCTGACCAAATGTAAAGATGGGAACAACAGAAATGAGTAAGTATATAAAAGGACTTGGCACACCCACTGAGGTGGGAAAGCATGAGATTGAGTGAAGCAAGGGAGAAAAGCAAATTGAGCTCACCCTTCCCTGAACAGGTCTTCTCTCCAAAGGCAGAGCAGAAAGAACCTGAAGAAGTGGGTGTTCCTCCCGGCTGCAGGCCATTACCTCTGGGGCTACTTCTGACAAGACAGGGATCCCGGTCACAGGCCAACAGTCAAAGCCACCTCGTTTTGAAAGCCTACCTACTTGGCCTCTCTGAAGTCGATTGTTCAGTTGTGAAGGAAACATTGGGGAATCTGAGTGAAGAATGATTGGAAAGAGGGATTCTTCAGAGCCATTTCAGAGGTAGAAAACTAGGAAAGCCCTAAGACTTAATGTTATAGCCACCTGTTTTCTTTCTCAGTCTGTGATCCAAATGTTACCAATATTATCCCCTGTCTGCACAGCCTGGGGTGTCACGGGTCAGGCTATCCACAGCCTCCATGCAGCTCCACGTCACCTTCCTACTGGGAGCTGTTCGATACTACACTCTAGCAAGTCCATAGAGCACCCTATTGTCTGGGGTGATCATACATCCCACTCCTGGCTTACTCCTGCTGTCCTCACCTAATTATTAACAGTGCTCCCTTTCCCTCTCAGAAGTGCCCTGTCTGAATGACAAATACCACCTAGTGTACTCCAGTCCCCCAGGTTAGTGCTGCCATCTCTGTCCTTTTTAACATTTGTTCTTCATTAAGCTTCAGAAAATTCAAAAAACCACCCATCTCACATACAAACACCCTAGAAGGTGCTCAAACATTTTGTCAGAGCTGTCAAGAAGAATAACGGAAAGCAGCAGCAAGTGCCCCGTGAGCTAGCAGATCGCAGTCTACAGCCCATCCCAAAGCAGGAAAACATGGTGGTAGTCTTGGGTGGACATCTTAGTCTATGTTGAATTTTCCAAGAATTTTTGAATGGTGTGGATTTGGTATTATCTCATATAAATTAATAGGGAGGGAATTTATTTTTTAACTGTGAATACTGTTGCTGAATGTAAACTTTCCCAAGGGACCTGGACTAGGCTATATAAAATGGAGGTAGGAACAAGTCTTCCATTTGCCTTTCTGTTCTTATTGCAGAAGTTGTAGGGGTAGCAAACAAATGAACCATCTGTTTTTTAGGCTGCTCTGCTTCAACTGACAACCCTGGCTAAAGTTCTAGGGGATTAGTATGGAGTCAATACCTGAAATAGCTGGGGCACTGTTGGGACAAAATCCAAGGTCTCCTTCCTATAGGCCACCATATCAGCAGCTTGACCCCTGAGCAAAGCTGACCATCTTGCCACAGCATGGCAAGTGCTCCTTGGAGCCATGAGCCTTACCCACCTGAGACCTAGGTGTTAGAAATGCAGTCAGCTAGCTCTGACCCATGCTCTGTCTTGTGTCTGTCTTGCGGTGCAGGTGACATCAGTTGCAAGGGGATGACCGAGCGCATTCACAGCATCAACCTTCACAACTTCAGCAATTCTGTGCTCGAGACCCTCAACGAGCAGCGCAACCGTGGCCACTTCTGTGACGTGACGGTGCGCATCCACGGGAGTATGCTGCGCGCACACCGCTGCGTGCTGGCAGCCGGCAGCCCCTTCTTCCAGGACAAGCTGCTACTGGGCTACAGCGACATCGAGATCCCATCCGTGGTGTCAGTGCAGTCAGTGCAAAAGCTCATTGACTTCATGTATAGCGGCGTGCTTCGCGTCTCGCAGTCGGAAGCCCTGCAAATCCTCACGGCCGCCAGCATCTTGCAGATCAAAACGGTCATCGATGAGTGCACGCGCATCGTGTCGCAGAACGTGGGCGATGTGTTCCCGGGGATCCAGGACTCAGGCCAGGACACGCCGCGGGGCACTCCAGAGTCAGGCACATCGGGCCAGAGCAGCGACACTGAGTCAGGTTACCTGCAGAGCCATTCGCAGCACAGTGTGGACAGGATCTACTCAGCACTATACGCATGCTCCATGCAGAATGGCAGCGGTGAGCGCTCCTTCTACAGTGGGGCAGTGGTCAGCCACCACGAGACAGCGCTGGGCCTGCCCCGTGACCACCACATGGAAGACCCCAGCTGGATCACGCGCATCCACGAGCGCTCACAGCAGATGGAGCGCTACCTGTCCACTACTCCCGAGACCACGCACTGCCGCAAGCAGCCGCGGCCCGTGCGCATCCAGACGCTGGTGGGCAACATCCACATCAAGCAGGAGATGGAGGACGATTATGACTACTATGGGCAGCAAAGGGTGCAGATCCTGGAGCGCAACGAATCCGAGGAGTGCACGGAAGACACTGACCAGGCCGAGGGCACCGAGAGTGAGCCCAAGGGCGAAAGCTTCGACTCGGGCGTCAGTTCCTCCATAGGCACGGAACCCGACTCGGTGGAGCAGCAGTTCGGGCCCGGGGTGGCTCGGGATGGCCAGGTAGAACCTGTCCAAACAGAGCAGGCCACAGAAGCCCCTGCCGAGGGCAGTCAGCAACCGCACCAGCCAGAGACAGGAGCCTCCTCCCCAGAAAGGAGCAGCGAGGTGGAGATGGACAACACGGTCATCTCTGTCAGCAACAGCTCCGACAAGAGCGTCCTGCAACAGCCTTCGGTCAACACATCAATTGGGCAGCCATTACCAAGTACCCAGCTCTACTTACGCCAGACGGAAACCCTCACCAGCAACTTGAGGATGCCTCTGACCTTGACCAGCAACACACAGGTCATTGGCACAGCCGGCAACACCTACCTGCCGGCCCTCTTCACTACCCAGCCCGCGGGCAGCGGCCCCAAGCCTTTCCTCTTCAGCCTGCCACAGCCCCTGGCAGGCCAGCAGACCCAGTTTGTGACAGTATCCCAGCCCGGCCTGTCGACATTTACTGCACAGCTGCCAGCGCCACAGCCCCTGGCCCCCTCTGCAGGCCACAGCACAGCCAGCGGGCAGGGCGAAAAAAAGCCTTATGAGTGCACTCTCTGCAACAAGACCTTCACCGCCAAACAGAACTACGTCAAGCACATGTTCGTCCACACAGGTGAGTGCAGGCCTCCTCCCAGGCTGGCAGTACGAGGCGGGTATGAGGCAGCTGTGGGAAGGGAGGGGCAGGGCAGCAGGGAGAATGGAAGGCTTGGGGTCACCTCTCAGATTTTAAGGAGACCCCACTGTAAGGCATCTTCAAGAAGCCCCAGCTGTGCCCACATCATAGTAACAAAGCACCCTACCACCAGATTATAAAATCAGAGAAACCCTTTATGGAGAAAGGCCAAATGGGGAAAAGCCTGATAAAGAATTGGCTGGCACAATATCCCTTAAGTACATTAAACTTTATAATATATTTTCTGACCCTACATGTTTAGAATTGGAAAAGTCCCTGGAGATTATATACTCCAGTCACCCATCTTACAAACCAAAGTCCTACAGGCAGAGCAGGGCTGAGGGTTCGAGTCTGTGGTAAACTGTATTTGAACCATCAGCTTGAAAAGACCGCAACTAGCCTGATTCAAGAATGAGCGGAAATGAAGAGGAGTGATAAATACACTCTATTTTCTACTGCTTATTCTCTGTTTTCAACATCCAGAGACCACAGTCTGTTGTGGGTATTACCTTTTAAAAAGACAATAGACTAACCGGGCCACTCTGAGAGGACTGTGATCAGGATGATGGAGCGACGCGAAGGCATATGAATCGGACTTGGAAGTCTTAGGGCTGCTTGGCCAGCAGAAAAGAAGACTCATACAAGCCATATTCAAGTGTTTGAGCTTCACGCACACCCCAGTGTAATAGTTAAGCTGGATCTCTGCAGCCAGATTTCCTGGGTTTAAATTTCTATTTAGCCACTATGAACTTTGTCACCTTGGGAAAATTTCTTAACCTTCTATACTTCCATTTCCTTGTCTATATAATGAGGATAATAGTGATACATCTTTCTTATAGTGCCATTTTGAGTATTAAGTGAATTAATATATATGTTCTTAAAACAATTCCTGGTACATCATAAGCTCTCTGTAAATAGTAGCTATTTTTAGCACTATTTACAGAGGTGAGTGCAGGCCTCCTTTCAGGCTGGCATTATTTAAATGGTTGGTAGGAAAGAAGACATTAAGCTTGTTCTCTTTGACTCCAAAAGGTAGTACTGGGCCAGTGATTGGAAGCTATAAGGAGATTCTTTCAACTAAATAGAAGAAAAAGTTTGTTAACAGAGCTTCTCTTAGGTGGGATAGATAGCCTTCTAAAGGAGTGGGTTATAATTAGAAGTGTTCAAGGAGAGGATGGATGATCATTTCATAGGGATGTTGCAGAGATGATTCAATCATCAGGTGAGTTGTTCATCAAAATGATGTTTCATTCCTGAATTCTGTGACTCTAGAGCTAAGATCTCCTGACCTCCTAGCCAGTGCCCTTTCCTAGCTCTTTAAGGGGACAAAGAAGTGAGAAATCCCCAAGTGCTCCTCCATAAAAGTGACCACTATTATGATATGATTTCACATAGATTCTCTTTACTTGCAAATACCCATCCCAGGGCTAATCACTGTATATGAAATTCCTATCATGAGAGTCACTCTTCTGGTAAACCTCTAGTTCCAGAGTACCTCTGTGAAATGACAAGTAAATTGCTAAGGGGAAGTTACATACTTGAATTACAATACACAAAAGCAATTTAGTTCCCTAAAGCAACCTTGTTTCTCAGATCAGCTAGCAGCAATTTAGGGGACAGGACATAAACCAGATAAATTTAAACTGGGGAACAGAAGGGAAGGAGAGCAACAGACCCTGAGACAAGGTAGACAGCATGGAAGTGAACAGCTGAAATAGGACATAACTTGAAATGAAGTTGGCCTTCTTTGCAGTTCATCTTAAGTCAAGACACTATGCAAATATATGTATGTGCCTTTACGTGAATCAATTCTTCTCCAAGATGACAGTTTTCACATCTCCAAATAAACATAGCAATTCACTACTTAATTTTGGAAGAAAAACACGTAGTGTAAGTCACTGTGTTCATTTGGGGTAAATATGAATGCACTAGTAATCTGAGATCAATCAAGGGAAGTTTTTCATGTGATATGGGTAGGATCATTATTTGGTAAGTTAATCAAATAGTAGTAGTTTTATTTATGTGGCAATTTATGATTTACAGGGTATTGCTTTATTCCTCTGAATAGCTATCATATACACCATCAAATTAAAGATTTGGTGGCGGGGAGGGGCTAGTGGGGTGGGGAGAGACCATTTGTAGAAGTATCTGCTTAGCCAAGGTTAACTTGCTAGTTTGGATTTGTAAACATTACTATTCCATCCTCTGTGCATCTCTTCCAGTCGATCTAGTGGATATAAAATTCCCATATTTGAGTAGAACACATATTGAAATAAGGCTTTAAATTCATCACATAAAATTTTCCGTGTTCTACCAAAAATTGTCTTTTTGGTGTATAAACACATCTAACCAATGAATCCACTAAATGATTTTGTGGTTAACCTAAGTATTATCCCATGAGAAAACTAGTAGTGGGATTGCACATTTAGACATCATAGTTACAAAAGCTACAAGTAAAGCCATTTTATAAATCTGAGTTATGCTCAGTGTTGCCTTCAGATATCTAGTAAACAATAAAGAGCCTCTGTAAATTATGAAGGTCTTTATATTGGTTTGTATAATATGGCTACATCTGGGAATAATTAATAATGTGTATGTATCATTTGAGCACCTCATTTAAATGAAGCCACACTCTTCCCTTTCACCTCAGAACGATTTGGCAGTGGCAGTTTGGAAGGGCCATGTGTCTACCAAGACTTTTGTCTAACTGAAGGAATCCACAACCTACCAAAGTTAAAGACCAACTGGTCTAGATTTTCAAAAGGCAAGACAGCCTGGACATATGGAAGTAGTTCAGGACCTGGATTCACTGTGGCCTACATTTCAAAACAAACTTCTCTCCAGTTTCTTGGGAAAATATTTTTTTAAATGGGACATCCAAACTTTACAGAGCCTAGTGGAAATGATAAAAATCCAGAGAAAAAGCCCAAATGTTCGTCTAAAAAGATTCTAGAGAGTACTGGGGATACTTGGAAGGGTAGGGATGTATTCAGTATTCTTATCTATACTCTAACTGAAAAGAATCTTATTAGGAAGAGTAGCTTGTAAAAGAAGAGAAATGTGGGTTCTTTGCATCATAGCTACCATGCATAGTAGCTGGCTTTGCATTTCAGTTACTCCAAGATTTAATGTAAATGGTACTTGTTTTCAATACCTCCAGATTCCAAATAAAATTCTGTGTAGCTATATTAATGTCTGAAAGGAAGTGTTTGAGACAAATTTGTCTATTAGATTAACTTTGGAGCTAAGCTCTGCCTTAGAGAACCAAGGAAGCCCTGGTTGCAAAGCATATTCTGTAATGATTCTGAATTTAGAACTTTGGGTTGGGACATAAGAGAAAGACAACTGTACTAGAATTAGATTATTTGGGTTTAATCTTGGTACCTCTCATTGGTTGTATGGCATTAAGCAAATAATTTTCTAACCCTCAGTTTCTTTGAATTTAAAATGGAAATAATTTTCTTGCCTTTTGAGTAGCTGTTAAGGTATGATACATTTAAGAGCTTTTCATAAAAGGTTTTAAAAAAGTCACCATCATTATTCCTTTAGCCCCCTCCACCCAGGAAACACTGAATTTCTTTGCTGTAGTTCCCATCTCTGAGTAATAAGCTCTTGACATGTTTCTTTCCTCTGTAGAATTCAAATGCTGAAGAAATGTGATGCTCCTTGGGTTTCCCTTGAACTTCCTTCATAACATGTTTTCTCATTCCTTAATGATATTTTTAAAGGAAAAGAGAATCCCTCACCTAACCATTCTGTCCACTGCCAAAGAAATCACAATAGTACTTCATTTCTTCTAAAAGTTTCTCACGTTCACTTTACTGAGGCTTCATAGAAGTTGTAAGAAAGGAAACCAAGAGTTAAGGACATATTTGAGAATTAGAGAAAAAAAGCAGACAACACAAACCATCCTGTCCTGCAACAAAGCAGGTCTCTACGTCCCCTTCCCCCAGAAAGAAAAAAAACAAAAGGGAAAGGAACCAGGATGGCAGGGAAAGACAGAGGGCGGAGAAGGAAAGCCTTGATGTCCGTGGGAACTTGGACAGCAAGCAACAGGGAAAACTCAAAGATGACCCGAGCAGTGGTTCTCAAAGTGTGATCCCCAGCCCAGCACCGTGCAAATTCTCAGGCCCACCAGAAACTCTGATCTGTGTTTTAACTAGCCCTGATTTACACTAAGTTGGGAATCAGTTCCCCAAAGGCCCAGGGTGATTAGGAGGAGGATAGCATCAGGTTATATAACCTTGTTCTCTAAAATTGCACTTAGAAGAATCTATGTGTTTGGAAAAAATAAACCAGTTTTCTTAGTTGAAAGTAACAGCTTGATTTTATAGTGGATAAATTATGTTATGAAAGTAAATATCTCACATACGTAAAGTGAACTTGGTCTCTCAAACTGTACAAGTAACATGGCAAATATACCCTTCTGGCACTTGAAAGTACTGCCTTTTATTATCACTTTATGGGCATCCTTACACCTGCCCATTCTAATGAACTCCGTAAGAGTAAAAACAAGTAGACAGATAGATAGATCCTGTACTCCAGTGTACTCCACATACCTTACACATAATAAGTATTGAATAAATATTTGATCAGTGAATGAATTGAATCCTTTTCTAATGATGTCTGATCACTTCCACAAGAATGAAGTGTTCCATTTCCACAGAGTTGTTTGTTTATTGCATGAAGTAACTCCATAGAAGTAATGCAAAAATACTTTGCATATTTATATATCGAGTACATTATCCTAGAATCTGAATATGTTTCAGGTACCACATGGTATTTTTTCTTGCCTTGCTCTACATAAAAAAATTGCACACATAAGACTGACCACAGTAGCATTCAGGGTATTTTTTTTTTTTGCCACCAAGTATAGCACAATTTAGCAAACAAAAATACTAGATGCCCAGTTATATTTGAATTTTGGAAAAACAACAAGT